ATGCTGCGTGTCAATTGGACACTTAACCCCGCAAAAAAAGAACTGCCTACGAAAAGATAGTTTTCTGCGAATGTTGGCTTGTGCTGTGCAAGCGCCGATGACGGCAAGCAACTTCATAATAGTAGATGGAATTTTGCGGCCGGCCGGGTAAGTGAGGTATTCGTGATTTAAGTGAGAATAATGGCTGTTTGGTTTTGGCAGGGTGATGAGATTCCTGGTTCTTTGTCCAAGCGACACCAAATCGGTTCGTGGTTTTCTTATTAAGTAAAAAGCGACACCAAAGTCACTTTTAAACCTTCGTCTCACGATTAGAAGATATAAAAAAGAAACACGTTGTAAGCTCTTCGATATTAGTAATTAGATATATATGTTATAAGTATATGTTATGACACGTAGTACAACGTTGAATAGTCAGTGCACTGCCTCCCTTAACTGTGGATATAGTATGACCCCTGCGCGGGTCCATAGGCGCAGCCATGATGGCCCGCGTGAAAGGCCTATTGCGACATCCGCTGTTTCTTTTATCTTCGTGATGCTGCACCAATCCAAACTGGCTGACGCAATACACGCGCGTACTTGCGTCAACCGACTTGCACCCCTACCCCTGAGGCCTATGAGAGCCTCACTTTGTCTATAGCTCCCAAACCAAATGGTTGTCACGAGAATCAGTGCCTTTATTGTTTGTACTGTATTAGTCATAATCTGCTACCTGAGTGAGTGCCAATATAAACCGCTACCGTTGTGTTCCACTTAGTATGTGCTTTTCTACAAGAAGGTGCCAGCGCCTAATTGTGTGTGTGTGTAGGGACAACAAGTCTTACTGGGGGCTCAGCCGCGTGAGAACAAACCATGGCAACCCCAAATGAGCAAAATGTGCAAAGTGAAATGGACGAAGTGTCTCCCAGTCCATCAAGCAATTCCGCATTGGCGTTTGCCCAAAACTATTGCAACAACAACCAATGGGCACACCTCATGCTACTGGCCATATGATCATACTGTGCGACCGCTCAAATCCCACATCTTGGGAATCAAGACAAACTTGTCGCAGTGCTCCAAGCGTGAGGCGTACAGCCGATCAACGTGCTCCAAAACACAGCACCCGGACCAGGAGCTGGCCCATCCGCTGCCAAACTTACTGCCAACATCACCAAATCACTGCTTCAATGCAGAGCAGATTTTCCCAAGCAAGCACAAGGAGAGGACTTCAAAGTCTACCTGCGCCGACTGGAAAAGCGTAAGTCAGTACTGTCATGTGGAGATGTTGCTCCCTATGGTGTTGATGCTGTTGTAACGGTTGACCGAGTTTTGTGTCAAACCCGAGAGCGGGAAGTTTGTGAAATGTTCTAAGGATCGGGATGGGTCACTGGAAGACAAATCATGGGCACAATTTGGCAATCGGCTATGGTGTGAGTACATCTGATACCTACCACTCAGTGCAAACAACCTACTGGGTCAAGAAAAATCCATCACCGCCGCACTCATTGGACAACTACTGGCAATCACCACCGGAGGGCTCCACGCCCACCTAGCCTCCAAGGTGACCGCCAATCAAACCCTGACATGGGTTGCATGTCTTGCGTACGCAGACAAATATTGCCGCATGCACCCCAACACACCACGTGCATCACCGGCTCCGCAAAATACGTAACAAGGCAACCGCCGACTGAAAGCAACGGCATCCAGAGTACAGAAACATTACTGCAACCACCATGAACGGTACGTTCTCCACACGACTGCCAAATGCTTGCTTGGGAAAAACCCAAGGCCAAACACGGCTAAGGGCAACCAATCCCAACTTTACACTTTGTCTTTTGGGAGAATTACCGAATTCTCCCCTGCCGTGTTCCCCGGCGGCTTGAGTCTACTATTTTATTTATTAGTTTTATTCTCTCATCACGTCTCTTTGTGGGTTTAGCCTACATAAGTCATGACCATCAATTCTCACGCCATAGTCGTGACCCAACATCCTCACGTTACACAAGTGAGCTTTTCTATACGTTTTTATCTTTTTGTGTTGAATGAGTTGTGGATTTTTATACTTGAGCGTTTATTCTCATTTGGGTCCGTGGAAATTTTTTTTAGTAGCATTCGGAAATTATATTCGTTCCGCTCTTGGATTTTTTTTTATGTGACAGAGACATAAAACAAAAAATCGGTTCGCAATCAAATGCAGTAGATTCAGGAGACTGTTGTATTTAATTTGTCTTAGACATGCTTTACATTCAGTGGGCGGTGACCAACTTTCAAATGAATGGGAGGAAATAGGAATAAAAGTCTATGAAATTTTCAATTTCAACGGATTTTTTTTTTCCAGGTCGACTGAACTAAAACTCAGTCAGAAAAAAATGCAGGTACTGTTTCGGATCACACAAAAACCAGAATTGAATTGAAATTTGAGTGCACCTGAAGGTTTAAAAAAATAGCAATTTTCTTTGCGCACGTATTTTTGAGGAAGTTCTTCGAAATAATCTGCAGTAGTCTTGATACAATTCCACCTGAAAATGCTTGCATTGAGAAACATAAGCATCGTTGTTTCATGGTGCTTCGATTTATAATTTTTGGTACGATTGGACTAAACTTGGGAAAAAAACGGGCATTCAGAAATATTTTGTGATGTTTTGAAACCTACGGGAAGAGCGTTGCGCGAACGACAGGATAAAATGTGTACACACGTCACACTAATTTCTCAATGCCGATAGATTTTTAGGTGGATTTCGTATGTCCTTCTTTCTGTTTGCGGCATGGAGTATAGTAGCCTTTAGTTTTTTTTTTTTAAATAGCGTGAATAATTTCAATATATTTCCTTGATGACAAATATTTGACGACTTATTTCGTCCTTGAATCGATGAAACGAGGTGAAACAAGGGGCTATACTAAGCTTTGATTTTTTCTCGCCTCTCTTTTTGAGCCGCGTAATTTTTTTTATCGATCATCAGTTGATGATTTCCTGGCCACTGTTCCGATAATTTTTTCTCTGATTTGAAATTTTATGAGAGCAGCAGAGTTGAAACTTGGACGATTCCGGATGGTTATATTGAGAATACAAGCAACTCTTGATTATATTGAGAAAATAGTCCAGAGCTTCGCCGACGAATTAATAGCAATATTTTGTATCAAATTGGAATGTAGGTGAACATGCACCAAAGTATTAACGATTCACTTCAATATGCATATAGAGTATATTTTTAAAAGATAAGTACTGAATAGAATTTACGTTCGAATTAATTGTGCCATAATCAACGACAAGACGAACATAACACCATTTCAGGGCCGGCCTAAGGCGGGTGCAGCGGGTTCACTGCACACGGGCGCCTGGCTAGGGGGGCGCAAAAATCAGTGCCAGAGTTGGCGCAAAAATCAGACCTGAACCGGGCAGTAAGGAGGGGGTGTGCCAGCATGATGAGGCGCCAGGCACCTCATCATTGATTGACTCATTGATGAGGCGCCTCATCATGCCGGCAAAATTATTTACTTTCAAAACTTCAAGATTGACAACAGTAAACAGCAAGACACAGGAAGCATCAAAAACTTCAAATCCCTGAGTTCCCTGCCCCCTCCCCAATTCTGATGCTTCCTGTTCAGGCTGTGATGTTTTGGATTGCACGTTAATAGGCCAATCACGTGCCTCAAAAATTGAACCACTGCTGTGTCCCAAGGAATCCAGGAGAAAGTAAAAAAAAAACCTCTTCATCCACATATAGTCAGTCTTCTTGAGAGCTTCAACCCTGTGGAGAACCCCCTTTTTGAAAAAAAAATTGGGAGAATTTCCCCTGTCTCCTAGAGGAAGAAAAAATGGGAAGACTTAAGAAAATACCTTTTTTATGAAAAAAAGAGGGAAAATTCATCCTGTGGGATGAAAATTCAGAAACACTGACATTCTGAAACTGCACAACCCCTGCACTTCATGCACTCTCAATACATTAAACAATTAAGCATTTATTATTCATTCTATTACAAAATCAAAAACGTTCTAATTTTTGATGGCAAATTCTCTAATTTGATATATTTTTAACACAAAACATGAAAATTTGGAAAATTCTCTGCAACTGGAATCCCTTTGAAAATTCAAAGTTTGGTGAAAGAGAAAATGTCCCCTAGTTTAAATATGTAATGGAGTTAGATGTGCAGATAAGTTTTAAAATTTGTCATGCATAAAAAATATAGCTAATTGCAGAATTGAGCAAGAAACTAGAATTTTTTAGATTTTGTAATCGAGAGACTTATCAGCATGGTTCATTGTTTCATGTATTGACAGTGTGTAAAGTGCACAGTTATTAAAATAAGCACAGTTATAAAAGAGCACACTGTTGAAAGAAGCACAATTATCAGACAAACAATAAGAACATTTTAAAAAGTTCTAGTTTTTTGCTTATACTGTACATTTTTAAATTTACTAGATTTTTCAACAAAAACACAAACATTCAGAAGAAATCTCTGCACCTCTAATCCCTTTAAATGTTTTAAGTTTGGTGAAGAAGGAAATTTTGTATAAATTTTCAGATTTGAAAAAATGTTTTTTTTTTCATTTAGAAAAGGTTTAACATTCTCATTTTCTCCTTTGTCAACTTGGATTATCTTATGTTTAAAAAAAATGGGAAGTGTAGAGAACTTCATATTTTTTTCAATGCAGTTGAAAATTTGATTTTCAGTGCATAATTGCCTTATTGGCAAATTTTAAAAGATGAAAAATTGGGAAGAAAAACTGAAACAAGAATTCAGACTTTTTAGTTTAGCCCATTCTAATTTATTTGCTTTTGATGAAACTTGAAAATTATTTACAGGGTGTCATGCACAGTGATGTTTTACAAGNCTGAAACAAGAATTCAGACTTTTTAGTTTAGCCCATTATAATTTATTTGCTTTTGATGAAACTTGAAAATTATTTACAGGGTGTCATGCACAGTGATGTTTTACAAGCTTCTTTCTTTTTGTTGAAAAATGTTACAAATTGAAACGGTTGAAATTCAAAAAAGTAAAAACATTTTTGATGATTTTTGTATAATTTTCAAATAAATTTTCACATGTTTGGTTGTAATTCTGTCAAATGTTCAGATTTTTGCATGTTTAAAAAAGGAAATTTAGAAAACATCTTTGTGCATGCAAAGCTGTAGACAACTCTAAAATTGGTGGAAAATTTAATTTTTAACAATTTTTCAAAGTCAGCAAAATGGACCACAGTCCATAAGCCAGTTTACAGTCCATAAGCAGGTGCAACTTCCCCAAAACAGAGCCAGTCCTTAAACTGAGAATTTGTAACTCAATGTCCATAAACTGGTGTTTGACTGTATATTGTTTGATTGAAGTTTTTCATGTATAGGGGCGCCAAGTGAGGGTTTGCACACGGGCGCCATGAAGGCTTGGGCCGGCCCTGCTAGCAGAAAGCCCATACAGTAAATTTTGAAATAACAAACTTCTCAATTCCAGTAAAACAAACTTTGCTGAGGAATGGTTTGTCAGATTCTCTGGGTAGGAATTTCCTGACTAAGATAGGGCTCAGTCCAACATTTCTGATCCCTAAAATGTGACTGACTGGTTCTTCTAGCATGAATGGAAGCTGTAAAATCCATTGAAAAACATGTTTCCAGCAATTGAATGTACGCATCATCCTTCCAGAATCAAGAGATTGGTGAAAGTGATGGAATGCATGATTGAAGATAATTTTTTCATTTCAAAAAATCACTAAGTTGAAAATTATGTTAATACTGTGTCTGAGAATGCCAGAAGAGCAAGATATATAATGTGATTATAGGCAGGTACAGTATTGTGCGGTGAAAATGTTCCCCAACCACTAATTTTGAAAATGTTGTTCTAACAAATTACAGGTGGTACCTTGCAATTTGACCCCTATCTGTTGTTGGACTATGGTCAAATTGAGACGCAACGTCAAAATTTCCATGTCTTTCCATAGGTCAAATTGCAAGGCAGAGGTAGAACTGAGAGTTGACCTCCCAGCAAATTGTGGGAGGTCAAATTGCCAGAAACCACCTGTATTCAGTATCAAAAACTCCTTCTGAAGTTCATAAAAGTGTGTGTAGTCCAATAAAAGTCAAGACTACAATATGCAGCACTTTGTAACGTTCCCTCATCTGCTTCACATTTGTTCCGCATTGTTACTCTCCTCAAACTCTTGCCGCAAGAACCTCAATGTGGTACGCTCATATATTTCTATGCTTTGTGAGATGGAAATAAAGCTGCACTTGTAAAGATTGTGGAAGTCTATTCTTGATTCTTCAAAAGTATCCAGAAAACAATTGAAATCTTTGACATCAATCATCAAGGTAGTTTAATTTGAAAGAATTGGCTGATCAACAATTCTCCAACTGAATTTGAGCTACAGTAGTAAACACAACAGTGTTGTTATGAGATGTTGCTGTATTATTATTATTTTTTTCAACAGGTGGCATTCCTGGCTCCTATGCTGCACTACCTCATGATGGAGAGACCCGCTTGCGGATCTGGATGGCAAGTGAAGATCAAAGCCCTGATCCTCACCCCAACCAGGGAACTGGCTTTGCAGATTGGAGTGGAGATCCTCAGATTGACCCATGGCAGTGAAATCAAAACAAACATGCTTTATGGCGGCACTTCAGTCAAGCACATGTGGGGCAAGTGAGTCGTGGCACTCACATCCTGGTTGGCACACCCGGAAGGGTCAAGGCACACGTGGACTGGAAGCAGTTGGACTTCTCAGAGTGCCGGTTAGGGTTTGGATTTGTTTTCCTTGTTTTCAGGGGAAGAAATTCACTTTAATTTTTTGGAATCCCACTTGCGCCATTTTTCTCTTTGAAATCTAGAAGGAAAATTGGGGTGTTTGTGGTTATGTGGGTATAATTTTAAAAATAATTCCAGTGTGTCAGAAGTTAGTCTGAGGTGAAACAAAATTCTGGAAACTTCTTTTGGCACCAATAATCCTGATGTATGAACAATCTTCATGCTCTTTGAATTATTCATGAGGTTCTATAGTGATGCAATCTTACAAGTGATTATTTGGTGAATAGATTTTCATTTTCAGCCAACAAAAACTGGGGTGCTGGTCTTACACTGGGATACAGTAGGTTTTTGGGTAAATTTTGGGTTGAAGATAAATCTTGGTGTGAGCCTTACTTGAGGGCACAATTATTGTTCTCAAGTGAATACAGTAGTAAACTACCCAGCAAATAATTTTGCCATTGCAACCTGTGTTGCAACTCCATTGGCACCCCGTTTTGAGGCAAACATTGGGCTAACGGTCGTTTGGTCACTGTAAAATGGTTGGGGGAGCAGCTGTTCCCTGGGTTGTTCTCAAATGCAGCCAGCATGCATTGCCAACAACTCCTGTTTCCCAGCATGCATGCAACCACCCCCCACCTGCCCTTATAATTACTGTTGTACAATCCATTCAGAAACCCTTTGCACACCCATTCTGAAAAGGACCCCAGATATGGAGCAGAAAAAAATAAAAAAATTCCCATTCGATTGCTGCTGTTTTCTTCTTCACTTTGCTTTCTTTGTGTTATCCTCTTTCTTCTTAACTTCATCTCTGCTGTGCTTTCTGTTCACAATATTCTTTCCTGCTGCTGATGCTCCTTTGCTTTGAATATGCTGTCCTGATGATGCTCCTGCTGGGTTTTGAACTGGGGCCATCTGAGTGAGAGTCAATCCAACTCAAAATCTTTTCCTCTCAAACCTCCACAACTTGAATTTCCGGAGGAATTTTTGATATAATCCTATATTTAAACAGGAAAGAGAGAAGCAATAAAAAGTAACTTGATGCGTTTCAAAAGGAAGTGAAAGACTAATTGGGAAAATAAACCCCCAATTGCACAGAATATCACCAATTACAATTTCCTGTGATTCTTTTTCCTCCCGCCCAACAGACAAATTCTGCCAAACAGACTTCTTTTGGTTTAAAATAAGTGTTGAAAATTTAAATTTTTAATTTATTATGTAATTGAATTTGTGTAAAGGACTTTTTGTCTAACAGACTTGTCCCTTGCATGAATCAAGTCCGTTAGATGGGGGTTGACTGTACTTATGGTACTTATACTAAAATGAGGTATTATCAGATCAATATAGAAAATTAGGATCTGGAGTGTAATGAGGTGTAAAAAGAGTTCAGGAAATCATTTATTTTGTAAAACACCTCACCAACATTTCTATCATTCAAAAATATGACCTTGTTTTTACCCTGATACTGAAATGATCCTTGAAACATTTTCTCTGAATAACAATTATTGATAAAAATTTTCTGAATTGTTCAATATTAATGTACTGTAAAAAATGCAGAGCCAAATACATTCTTGGAGCAAGATCATCCAGCTCCAAAGAATTGCAATACACTGTTAAAAATGAAGCAATATCTAAAATGATCTTCAAACTTTGAAGATCTGTTAAAAATTCCCTAATTAAGATAGAAGGGAGTTCAAAAAAAGCAAATGTTCCTTGAAACAAGGCCTTTCTTGATATTTCATCATTTAAAACGATTTTCAATTTAAAAGCATTCCCCGTCATTTTTTTGTGTGATTGCACTACATTGCATAGAAATGTAAAACAATATACAACAGTTGTACATTGTTCCACATCGTTCATCATTGCTCCACATCATTCCACATTGCTCCACATCGTTCCACATTGTTCTACAATGTTTCACATTGCTCTACATTGCTCCACATTACAGTACAGGCAGTGTAAAGGGATGTGGAACAATGTAGAACGATGTTCAAGTTGAAAATCATTCTACATCGCACAAAAAATGACATATATTAATTTTCATTTGAATATCATGTAATGCAATGTAATAGCAAGAAAGGCCCTGTTATAAGGAACATTTGCTTTTTTGAACGCCCTTCTATCTTAATTAGGGAATTTTTTACAGATCTTCAAAGTTTGAAGATCATTTTAGATTTTGCTAGTTTTTTTAGCAAAATTTACAGTTGTGCTCAACAAGGAATCAGCAATGTTCAAGTGAACATTGCAGGTACATTGTCTCAACTAATGATGCTCTGAATGGGGGTGCATTTTATTGCCAACAAAACGTTGGGAGTACCATTCCAAAACGCACCAGCCCTGCATTCTGGAATGGTGCTCTCAACAAAGGGCACATTTTTATTGCTCAGGAAACATGGGGAATCTGTTCAAAAATGATTCTCAGCATGGCTTCTTCTCCAGGCATGTTCTGAATGGACTGCCAACGAGTCCTGGAATGCTTCCCTGAGAATGCCACAGCGCGTTGTTGGGCTCTGCTCCCAACCATTCTGAGAATGGGTTCCAGAACCCGTTGGCAGTCCATTTCCTCAATGGTTCACTGCCCAACGCCCCCATTATTTGCTGGGTACGGACCAACAATAACAAGATTTGAGCTAAGGAGGTTTTGAGTTGGAGAAGCATGCATTTTTGTTGTGGGATAGGAAAAAGAATCACAGGAAATTGTAATTGGTGATATTCTGTGCATTAGGGGTTTATTTTCCCAATTAGTCTTTCACTTCCTTTTGAAACGCATCAAGTTACTTTTTATTGCTTCTCTCTTTCCTGTTTAAATATAGGATTATATCAAAAATGCCTCCGGAAATTCAAGTTGTGGAGGTTTGAGAGGAAAAGCCTTTGAGTTGGAGAGATTTTTAATGCATTGTTTCTGATAGAATTCAGATGGAAAAAATGCAACTTACGTTGTGAGGTTTGAGTTATTAAGGTTCAACAGTGCTATATTTATACTCAAGTACCAAGTGCACCTTTTTTCTACAAAATCAGGGCAGAAAAAGTGGGGTGAAAGTGATGAGCCATATGCAGGCACACATTTTTTAAAGAAAGAAATTAGTGAGCCTCAAGTGATTCTTTGTATTGACAAATAATGAACATGGAATTCTGTTTGGCACTACTCCCATTAAAATTGCATGTTATTATCACTGTATATATTTTTTTGGGATCATTTTCTTTAAAATTCTGAATTTTTGACTATATAAAACTGGGGTGCAAGTCTTATGCAGGGACATATTTTGGGGTAAATGGTGCCCCTGTTTTTTGCATTAAAAAAAAGTTGGACATAAACATATTGCCAAGACATGCACTACATTTTCATAGTGGCAGAAAATTTGCAATATTTGGGGAAAAAAAGCATAAGAATTTCAATTTTGACTTGAATTGGACCCCAAGTGAAATAGTTTCCATTTGCTTTTACATTCTTCAAAAATGTTCCTTAAAATTAGTCAAAATCTCCAATTGGAATAAAAAAAGGCGTGCACCTGAACTTTTAAAATATCGTAAGTTTTAAAAAATTTTCACAAATAATTCGTCATACAGTATAGTGAAAATCATTGTAGACAAAGTGTTGTATGTAGAGAGAGACCACCTATAATTCTGTAAAATTGGTCAGTGTGGCCGCACTAAGATGCAGGTGCAGGTTACTTCTCAGGCTGTGTTGATTTCTCAGAATGTTTACATGTTGGATCAAATGTTCCCATGGACTTCAATTGGAAAATTTTTAGTCATCTGAAATGTTTTGCAAAAAAAATTGAAAACACCTCCAAGATAAAAACCAAGTTTTCTAGACTGAGATAACAAAATACGTTAACTATACTGTACATGCTGAAGAAACCCATACACTTCTGCGTTTCAGTTTTCTGGTGCTGGATGAGGCGGACCAAATGTTGGACCTGGGGTTTTCTGCCTACATCGACATCATTCTGAATTCAGCACATAATGGCTATCGGCGAACCTTGATGTTCTCTGCAACTTTTCCCGCCAATGTCAAGGAAATGGCTGCCAAGTACTTGGAAGCCTGATCATGCCTTCATGGCTGTGAGTGTGGTTGGCGGTGCAAATGAAGATATCCAGCAAAAAGTTGTGCAGGTAGGTGATGGGCGCATATTCATTGTGGAGAGTAATTTATATTCACCCTGTTTTTGGATACTGTATTTTCAAATGAGAAGATCTAGGCAGATAAAATTATGTTATTGCACAAGTACTGTAATGCCATTATAGCACCGTGAAATAATTTGAAGTTTCAACATTTTTGTCACTAATGTCCTTGGCCCCAGTACTTCTAGGCTTGAATGCAGGTATTTCTTCTACTGCATTTATCTCCACATTTTCTGAATTAGGCGGAATGTCTTGAAAGGGTCCATTGACCAAGGTATATCTACAATTCTGATTAAATTTGATGATGCCCAAGTATGGTAATTTGTAAGAATTTTCAGATGCAGGAATTTCTTTGTTAGGGCTTTCAGCACAATATTGGGTGATCCTTCCCTTATCAGTATCAATGTACGCAAACTCATCCAGATCCAATTGTATTACCATATTTTCAGGCATCTCTACCAGTTACATTTTGCAGGCAACCTGTATCATTTCATCGTTTGCTCCTTCTTGTATTTGTTTAATACAGAGACTGGCGGGGCTTACTGGGAGATGTCCTGCATGACAAATTTGACAACCTGACTGACACAACCTTGGCAAACACTTGGGTACTTCTGACCCATATGCTGCATAATAATTGTTGCCTCTTTTTAAGAGAAAAGGATGTTTAATCTCAGTTTGCATCCATTTAGGCAAACCAAGGTAAGTTTCTCGGGCAACAGGGATTGTATCAATTCTTGACACATAAACTACCTTGTCAGGAGCTACCACAGGGACAATAGTCATAGTTCTGAATTCACAAACGCTTGTTTGATTTTCAATATTGTCGCATGCATATGATCCTCCAGTTACCAGATTTGATTTGAAAAAAATGAAATGATACAGGTTGCCTGCAAAATGCAACTGGTAGAGATGCCTGAAAATATGATAGATCACCCAATATTGTGCTGAAAGCCCTAAGAAGGAAATTCCTGCATCTGAAAATTCATAAAAATTACCATACTCTGGCATCATCAAATTTAATCAGAATTGTAGATATACCTTGATCAATGGACCCTTTCAAGACATTCTGCCTAAATTAGAAAATGTGGAGATAAATGCAGTAGAAGAAATTCCTGCATTCAAGCCTAGAAGTACTGTGGCCAAAGACATTAGTGACAAAAATGTTGAAACTTCAAATTGTTGCACTGTGCTATAATGACATTACAGTACTTGTGCAATAACATAATTTTATCTGCCTAGATCTTCTCATTTGAAAATACAGTATCCAAAAACAGGGTGAATATAAACTACTCTCGACAATAAATATGTGCTCATCACCTACCTGCAGCTGAATTCAGAATGACGTCGATGTCGGCAGAAAACCCCAGGTCCAACATTTGGTCCGCCTCATCCAGCACCAGAAAACTGAAACGCAGAAGTGTATGGGTTTCTTCAGCATGTACAGTATAGTTAACGTATTTTGTTATCTCAGTCTAGAAAACTTGGTTTTTATCTTGGAGGTGTTTTTAATTTTTTTCGCGGAACATTTCAGATGACTAAAAATTTTCCAATTGAAGTCCATGGAAACATTTGATCCAACATGTAAACATTCTGAGAAATCAACACAGCCTGAGAAGTAACCGGCACCTGCATCTTAGTGGGGCCACACTGACCAATTTTACAGAATTATAGGTGGTCCCTCTCTATATACAACACTTTGTCTACAATGTTTTTCACTATACTGTATGACGAATAATTTGTAAAAAAATTTTAAAACTTACAATATTTTAAAAGTTCAGGTGCATGCCTTTTTTTATTCCAATTGGAGATTTTGACTAATTTTGAGGAAAATTTTTGAAGAATGTAAAAGCAAATGGAAACTATTTCACTTTGGGTCCAATTCAAGTCAAAATTGAAATTCTGATGCGTTTTTTCCCCAAATATTGCCAATTTTCTGCCACTATGAAAATGTAGTGCATGTCTTGGCAATATGTTCATGTCCAATTTTTTTCTAATGAGAAAAACAGGGGCACCATTTACTCCAAAATATGTCACTGCATAAAACTCGCACCCCAGTTTTATATAGTCAAAAATTCAGAATTTTAAAGAAAATGATCCCAAAAAAATATATACAGTAATAATAACATGCAATTTTAATGGGAGTAGTGCCAAACAGAATTCCACGTTCAATATTTGCCCCTAAAACAAATCACTTGAGGCTCACTAATTTCTTTCTTTAAAAAATGTGTGCCTGCATATGGCTCATCACTTTCACCCCACTTTTTCTGCCCTGATTTTGTTGAAAAAAGCTGCACATGGTACTTGAGTATAAATATAGAACTGTTGAACCTTAATAACTCAAACCTCACAAGGTAAGTTGCATTTTTTACATCTGAATTCTATCAGAAACAATGCATTGAAAACCTCTCCAACTCAAAGGCTTTTCCTCTCAAACCTGGACAACTTGAATTTCCTGAGGCATTTTTGATATAATCCTATATTTAAACAGGAAAGAGAGACGCAATAAAAAGTAACTTGATGTGTTTTGAAAGGAAGTGGAAGACTAATTGGGAAAATAAACCCCTAATGCACAGAATATCACCAATCACAATTTCCTGTGATTCTTTTTCCTTTCCCACAACAAAAATGTATGCTTCTCCAACTCAAAGCCTCCTTAGCTCAAATTTTGTTATTGTTGGTCCTTAGTTTACTACTGTATTTACTTGAGAACAATAATTGCGCCCTCAAGTAAGGCTGACACCAAGATTTATCTTCAACCCAAAATTTACCCAAAAATTTACTGTATCCCAGTGTAAGACCAGCACCCCAGTTTTTGTTGGCTGAAAATGAAAATCTATATTCACCAAATAATCACTTGTAAGATTGCATCACTATAGAACCTCATGAATAATTCGAAGAGCATGAAGATTGGTCATACATCAGGAGTTTTGGTGCCAAAAGAAATTTCCAGAATTTTGCTTCACCTCAGACTAACTTTTGACACACTGGAATTATTATTTTTAAAATTATACCAACATAACCACAAACACCTCAATTTTCATTCTAGATTTGGAAGAGAAAAAATGGTGCAAGTGGGATTCCAATAAATAGAGTGAATTTCTTCCCCTGGAAACAAGGAAAAAAATCCAAACCCTAACCAGCACTCTGAGAAGTCCAACTGCTTCCAGTCCACGTGTGCCTTGACCCTTCCGGGTGTGCCAACCAGGATGTGCGTGCCA